TCGAACCCACGACCTCCTACTTACTAGTGCAGATGTCTTGACCACCGAGCTTGCCGGGGTCGGCTGGCCGGTCCGAGTCAAAAGAAGCAGTGGGTACTGCGAACTATTTTCAAGATGTATCAAGCATTGAGCATACAGTGCTTATTAATATACGTTGGGTAAGGGCAAATCCGTTATATATAATTAATATCTCCCCAACGCAAAAATACATCTTGAAAATACATTAGACATGTTAGAATAACAGTAGAACCCTCATCATTGTCTATCATGGATGCCTATTGTGTCAGTACCAATGATATTTTTATTTGCTTGTTATCAGCAGAGGAAATTGTTGACAATTGTTTGTACCCTTTGGTTGCCATTTTTCCATAAAAGAGCTATGGTACAGTTCTTATTACTCTTCTTTGACCAAGTTTCTTCTTTCAGGAACCATTAAGTTTAGACTGGAAGAAAAGAGAATATGTTTATTCTGTTTGTGTCATTTTTGTCTACTTTAACCATGCAACAGAAAGTTGGGCAAATTTCTTCCTCGTGGTTGTTATTTTTGTACTCATTTCTGTCCATCTAAACATGACGTAAATATCCAAATGTCTGTGTACATGTGTCTGTATTTAATATTCAAAACAGCAAACCAATATATTTAATATTCTATGACTGCATATTGGGTAATATAGATTGCACTATGTGCAGGCTGTTTGTGCTTTAAATGCTTCCTGGATCAATAGGATGTAGTGACTTGTCAAATATGTGCATGCCTCATGTTTAAGATTGCGTGGTGCCACTGCAGGAATGATATCTCATTGGATTAGTTTGAGGTATTCAGTCTGTAAGTTGGAACGCTGATACATGTACATGTACAGTATATCATGCATGCAACTATTTTTCTGGTTGACTTTCTTTTTTTAACTGTATGTACTGTATACTGTATGCCATTGTCATTGCAAAACACTGTACAAGTTGCTGTGCAGCTTGTAATTCCGTTTTTGCTAATTCCCTTAGAAGATTTTTGAATCTTAAATTTGTGAAGTATGCGCCAGGCATAATTATATTATTTTTCAGTTAAGTGATGTCACTGAAGTTACCAAGAAAACTTTAGCTGAAACCCTATTCAGTGTACAAATGGCATGATATCCACTGTAATAATTAACTTTCATAGTGGTGGTGACTGTAATACATTAATTTTACTCAGCCTGACCAAGTGTATGGATGTTTTGCTTAGGTTTGGGATGTTGCCAGAGAGACTTGTGTTGCATTGAGAAGGAATGGTGGAGGAGGTGTGTCACTACTCAGATGGTCCGCTGATAACACCAAGCTGTTTGCTGCAACTCCATCCAAAATGTTTAGGTGTGTCATCACTCATCAGGAAAGATGCTTAACCAGTTTGGTGCTATCAGGTTGTATTTTAGTACTACTTCTGTCAAATTGGGTTGGTTGGTTGATTTCTCTAGGAACTGCTGGTGATGTTGCTTACAAAATCTTGTACAGTAGATGTATGGGCTTGAAGTGTATTTTGTAAATTTGACATGGAATTTTACCCCCCAAGCGTAAAAAGTTTTTAATTGCATATATGTACTGATAGGTTTTTCAGAATCAAGTAACCACCTACCCCCCGAAATCTTAAAATTTATGATTCACTTGTGGGGCTTATGTTATTAACCTTTCTAAATTAATGCCCAACAACAAAAGTTTTAGCAAAAGGTGGTATTAAGTATAAAGAGAGTCCCAAAATTACATGTACATTCCACTTGTTGAGGAAAGTGGCATCAAATAGTTTGGGTTTTTGAGTGAAGAAAGATCAGTCATTAAAGACATTGAGCACTGAACCCTCAAAGCACACATATTTCTTTTCAAACTAAGGCTACACACAAGTGGCTGTGTTTTATGCTGAGAAGCACATGTACATGATCTTTGAGGACGACCAGGGGATTGACGTTTTGTTACTCAGTGAAGGTTGTGTTCATAGTGCTTTGGTGATCCCAAGACAGTATTATCAGGTCAGATCTTGTGGAGACAGTGGACAAAGCTGAAAAGTATGCTTCATTTTGTGTTCCAGGTTGAACAGAATTTGAAGCTTTAGTTTGATACCAAATTAATTTTGATATCTTAATTTGAATTTTCCCACGTCATTGACTCATATCATGTTCCCCTGGTTGTCCTCAAAGATCATGTACATGTGCTTCTCAGCATAAAACACAGCCACTTGTGTGTAGCCTTAGTAGATGTAAAAAAAATCAGTTTTGCAGAAAATGCAGTTTTTCTTATAACTTTCGGTTTTAACAAAGACACACACTGTTGCCCGAATCACCTTGTGGGCCGGGTACTTCCATTCAGTCACAGCATTTTTTTGCTTATTCTAATCTTTGCCAAAGTAGAGAGGAACACACTTTTTCAAGAAAAAAACCTTGCCAAGGGTTCCACCAGGTGTACTTAGGTTTTATAATCAACTATATTGCTTGTTTTTTTCCGGAAGAGTTTGGGAAACCAAAACTTGGAGCTGTGAGAAGTGGCTGGATCTTTTAGGTCACTGCCAAGCAGCCTGCTGGAGTCCTGATAGCAACATGCTGCTGTTCTGCACGGAGAATAAGCCTATTATCTATGCCCTTGGATTCAAAGATATTGGGGTTAGCAGAGGAGCAAAAACTGCCGTCCAGTGTGCAGATATGTCCAAGGTTATGCTGCAGTGTCGTACAGAGGAAACCAGGTAGCATCTGCATTTAATTTTAATTGGTAGTCTAAATGAAATTTTGCAGAGAATATAAACAAGTAACTTTCAATTTTTAAATAATAATTTCCGGGGATTAATGTTGGTTTTCTTATTTGTCTTTTTATTGGCTCGCTCTCAAAAAGAAAAATATCAAGTAAGATTGTGCAAAGTATGTGCTTATTACATACAAAATATGTGCCCTTAACCACTTCATGCCGGGGCATTTTTCAATGTTGATGATGCTGGGCAGGCATGACTATCATTTTTTTCCGTTTTCAAAATCCTTCAAAAATTCATCATTTCATTTAACGGTTGTTTATAGCCACACCAAGTAATTTTTAGGCACTACT